ACCTCAACTGATTTAATTTTTACACATTGGTATAATTGTATATTTATGAACTCATGAAATGGATCGTAATATCTTGGACAAAGGAAAATACGTCATTATAGATTTGAATGAGAATCCCATAGAGTCAGAAATGTATGGGTTTGGTAACTATGGTGACGAGTATGAGATTTGTCTAAAGAATTCAGTGACAATAGAGATAAATCAAGTGCAGCTAGAGAGAAAGACATCGCACTGGAAAATATGTTGCATGAATTAATAGTTGTAGAAGTCATTCAAATGAAGTTTAACTCGGAAGATGAGGTGGGTGATTTTTATAACACATACGCTAAGTTTATAGGTTTTAGCATCTGAAAAGATGACTTAAAATATGAGAAAAACCATGTTCCGGTGTCAAGGAAATGAGTTTGTTCAAGACAAGGTTTTCGAGTTACGAAATACTCAGATCGAGATAAAAGGATAAGGGAACCGAGAGGACTGACAAGAATGGATTATTTAGAAGGATTCTGAGTTAAGTATGATAGGAAGTTAGAAACATGGGTAGTAAAGAAGTTCGTGAAGGATCATAATCATCCTTTGGTTCCACCAGGTTTTGTGTTTTTCCTTTGCTCACACCGTTGTGTGAAAAGCCCAATAGAGCACAAGCAACAACACTACATAGTGTTGGTATATGCACTAGCCAAATAAGAGATTTTATGTTGCATCAATCAAGTAGATACCATAGTGTTGGGAGAAGGAATTTGTATAGTGACATTACAGCCTAACGTAGAGAGGAAATGAAAGATGGGGATGCTGAAGGGGCCTTAGCATACTTGAGCACCAAAGAGGAATCAGGGCCATTATTTTATTTTAGGTATATCAGTGATGATGATAATTCATTGAATTGCCTATTTTGGACAAATTCAACTTCTAGTGTGACCTGTTCAAGATTTGGTGATGTTATGACATTTGATACAACATATAGCACAAATGCATATAAAAATTTGTTTGTCATACTTGCAGGTATAAACCACCACAAAACTACTTGCGTTTTTGGATGTGCATTACTTTCAAATAAGACACTGGACACATATGTGTAGATGTTGGAAACATTTCTTGATGCAATGGATAATAAGAAGCATATATCAGTTGTGACTGATGGTGATAAGGCCAAGGCCAAGGCTGCTGCAATCGAAAGAATATTTCCAAATGCGAAATACAAGTTATGCAAATGGCATTTGGAGAGAAATGTGCTTCAAAATATTCATGCTAAAAATTTTGTCCGTGAGTTGAAGAAATGTATGTGCACCCGATGTACACCTAAGGAATTTGACGTGATGTGGGAATCAATGGTACAGTCATTTGGGCTGGAAGATAACAATTGGATAGCGAATGTGTACACACAACATTCAAAATGGGCTGAAGCATTTTTACGTGGTCATTTCTTTGGGGGCTTTAAAAGCACGCAATGCTCAGAAAGCTTGAATGGCTACTTGAATCGTTTCCTAAATACAAGGCTTCATTTGTATGAGTTTATTAGACAGTATGATAGGGGGTAGCAAGAATATGAGAGACCGAGGCCTATGATGACCATTATTCTGAAAACAATACGTTGATATTGATCACTTCACTACGTTGCTTAGAGGAGCACACTACCTCAATGTATATCATGTTAATGTTTTTTAAAGTGCGGGATAAAATAAAGGTTGAAGGACTCTTCTTCGTGGTTCAAAAAATTGAACACATGACTCGTTGGAGTTATTATCTGTCGAAAGTACACACAACCAACATCCAGTTGGAATGTGGTCTATGATTATTACAATCATACCTTCAAATGAAATTGCATGAAATTAGAATCTATTGGGCTTCCTTGCTCACACATCATTACAGTTATGAAAAATGAATACATTAGAGAGTTCTTGTTGAGTACTATTCTAAAGCGATGGACAATTAACGCAAAATTAAATTGCCCAATTACCGATGTGCCTCAAACATCAAGAACCTTATCAATTTCTTCCGGATATTCTAGATTAATGTTAATGTGTAGCCAAATGTGTTACTATGCTACACAATTGCTTGAGGACACAGAGGAGGTGCGAACTACAATAAATGCAGTAACCAACTGCATGAAACAATGTCATAATACAAGCGAGGCAACACATGTTTCATCATCACAACACAAAGTGAATGAGAATATGTCAAAAAGAAATTTTGGCGTTGTCAATTCGAAGACAGTGACAACTAAAGGAAATCTAGGGCGTATATGAAAGAAGATTTCAATAGCTCCGCGAAGATGTAGTAAATGTCGAGGTACCGAACATACTATTCGTAAGGTCCCCAACTTACGTGCCATGCAGTCGACTTATACGATGACATGCCCTTCTTATAGCCTGGTGGCTCCCAACAGCCCATGCCACCAATTGAGGAAGACTACCATGGAAATCTTACTTACAATTATGGTGACCTCCAATACTAGGTTAGTAAACTATTTATCTTTCATTACTTTGGGAAATTCAGTACATACAAAATAATGATATATCCATTTTTGTTTATTTACAACAACTGATCCTTAATTTTGATTCAAACATGCACGGCCAGTACATTAATACTTCTTTAAACAATGTTGAGGTGAGCACGACTCCATGTGTTCCACTTTGCATTTTTTTTTTTTGGTATTAACTATTCCACCATCACATTAGCATAATATACTCAATACTTCATACAATCTAACATGTACACATGTGGGCACTAGACAAATCTGAGATAATCAATCATTCACTATATAGCAAATGACCACACAATGAAGCTTTCTTAAGTTGTATGGAAGGTGCAACCCCACGCCCTCTTTTTTATTGTATAGATGACAAGTGTAAAAGTAAGGAAGCTAAAAATTCAATATGTTTTTTGAAATATAATCCGACCTAATGTGCAAACCTCAAATTTATCTCCAGGATATAGATTAATTCATTGTTAAAATCATATAAACATGAACGTACACACACAACTCACATTCACTGTACCAAATTCAAAATCCATAAAGCCACAATAAGCTTATAACTACTAGCCAATATATTTAACAACCATGCTCATAACATCTACAAGAAACTGGCCAAAACATTCTTGTACTTTACAACAAAAAAGAACAAAATCAATATGTCAGTTGTTGATGTACTCTTTAAAATCCTTATAATAACCATCTAACTTTGTTTCCAGATGCTAGAAAGACCCATTCGTTTTATAATCAAACTTTTCAAATCGGGCTTCCAAATTTTCAACTATTTTCTAAAGTGTTTGTCCAACCATACTCGTATCAACGGCAAAATCAGATTGACCACCCACAACCTGAAGCTTCGATGATCGCTGCTTTAGACGATGTGTCTGTTTCACACCCCGAATAGCTCCCATACTTTTATTTAGTGTACCAATACCCATTGCATTAATGTGGTTCATAAAACTATCACTCTACTCAAATATAACTCCACAATCCTTCAAAATCTTGAAAATTAAGATTGGAAATGGAAGGCTTGGCTTGCAATCCTCTACCTTAGATGTTTCAAGAATATGGTTGAATATATAAAGGAGTAGATCAATACAAACCCCTCTCCCAATAGGATATAACAGTTGGACTTTATTATAATTAATCTCAGCAGTATGTCCCTTCGGATGTATATTACAAGCAAAAATGCGATCTAAGATCCTATACGTCAATGTAAGGTCTTTGTGAACAATTNACTTCATACAATCTAACATGTACACATGTGGGCACTAGACAAATCTGAGATAATCAATCATTCACTATATAGCAAATGACCACACAATGAAGCTTTCTTAAGTTGTATGGAAGGTGCAACCCCACGCCCTCTTTTTTATTGTATAGATGACAAGTGTAAAAGTAAGGAAGCTAAAAATTCAATATGTTTTTTGAAATATAATCCGACCTAATGTGCAAACCTCAAATTTATCTCCAGGATATAGATTAATTCATTGTTAAAATCATATAAACATGAACGTACACACACAACTCACATTCACTGTACCAAATTCAAAATCCATAAAGCCACAATAAGCTTATAACTACTAGCCAATATATTTAACAACCATGCTCATAACATCTACAAGAAACTGGCCAAAACATTCTTGTACTTTACAACAAAAAAGAACAAAATCAATATGTCAGTTGTTGATGTACTCTTTAAAATCCTTATAATAACCATCTAACTTTGTTTCCAGATGCTAGAAAGACCCATTCGTTTTATAATCAAACTTTTCAAATCGGGCTTCCAAATTTTCAACTATTTTCTAAAGTGTTTGTCCAACCATACTCGTATCAACGGCAAAATCAGATTGACCACCCACAACCTGAAGCTTCGATGATCGCTGCTTTAGACGATGTGTCTGTTTCACACCCCGAATAGCTCCCATACTTTTATTTAGTGTACCAATACCCATTGCATTAATGTGGTTCATAAAACTATCACTCTACTCAAATATAACTCCACAATCCTTCAAAATCTTGAAAATTAAGATTGGAAATGGAAGGCTTGGCTTGCAATCCTCTACCTTAGATGTTTCAAGAATATGGTTGAATATATAAAGGAGTAGATCAATACAAACCCCTCTCCCAATAGGATATAACAGTTGGACTTTATTATAATTAATCTCAGCAGTATGTCCCTTCGGATGTATATTACAAGCAAAAATGCGATCTAAGATCCTATACGTCAATGTAAGGTCTTTGTGAACAATTTTGCTTTTCTCATTTTCCCAAGGAACACTCCTAGTGCAAATATGTCGAATAATTGTCGTCATGTCAGGTAACTGCTCCTTAGTTGCATATGGAAAGATAATGGAATTATTAGGAATGTTGGGTCTATGAATTTTTAATAAATTTGAAATAAGATCAGATGAAACAGTAATGGATTTCTTCCAAACCCATGACTTAAATGTCAGATCATTCTCCTTGTAGTCATGAATTTATGCATTAAATAACTTAACCAGATCAATATATGCTTTATATGCCATATTCACATCAAACAGAGGATCCCAATTCTGAGCACAAAGTATTTAAGGGGAATCCACATTGCCTACTAGCTCATCGAGGCAAACACCACACTAAAGTAATAGAGGACGTTTAACATTGAATTTATCATACCTCTTCTTAGCATCTTTGTCCATGAAGATTTTCTCATTGCAAGAACTCTCTCTGTTATCCAACTTCTTCCTTTTCTTCATCTCTCCACCATCCGTCAACAAAGCTACAAATAACACAATAGAAGATCGTATCAGAAAGCTCAGCAATGCATTTGCAACTACTCTTTTCTTCGTCTCTTCTTCCAATAATTGGTGATGCTTTTCAATGGAAATTCCTTTTCTTCTACTCTTCTTTTACTTCGCTAATAGTTGATCCGAGGCTTTGAAATGGTTGGCGAACTCAAATGGATGAAGGAGATTTGGGGTGTTGGGCAATGGCTTTGGACGAAGCCGCGATTTAGGCTTTATCTTGCGATTTGGGGATTTATTTGAGTATCCTTTGATCTTAATTTATGATAAAACCCCCCATAACAACACTCCTAAGAAATTATTTTTTTTGTGGGGGGGGGGGGGGGGGGATGTGTTGGCAACTAAACAGATAGTATGTATACCTGAGTAGAATATGTAATCATGTGTACCAATAAAATCTCTGGTGCAATTTGTGAATAAAGGTTCATTTGTAGCAGGGTCCATTCTCCTCCTCTGTTGCTCTAGACTCAGGCCCACACCAATTCTGGCAAAGGACGAGTATGCACTTACCTGAAACAACAGGGCCACGACCAGCACAAGCATTAGCCAAAACATGTTCACACTACTACTACTCACGAGAAGCTAATAAGAGTAGATGAATGCATCCTTATGGAAGCATATAAAGCAATAATTTATTTAATATATGTTACCAATGGCAACTGATGCACTAGTTTGCTGGAGGGCCGCAGAATTCCAAGAGGGTCTACTGCTAAATCTGTATTCATTGGATCAACTTTCCCCAATGCAAGAAGTGCATGAGGAGCACTGCATTAAAAGTCAAATGTATCTTCAGATATTGATATCAAACCAGTAGTTTTATGATGGCATGTATAAAGGTTCACTTCAATGACACATCTTGTGCCTTTATGAAAAATACTTGATGGTGCACACTACACCTTTAAAAACCACCACATAAGAAAAGTAAACACTTAATATGTATAAACAACTGACAAACCTTCCAGGAACTGCGTTAAAATCCCCACACACCAACATTGGGATGTCTGCACTGGCAGCTATCTTTTCCAAGCCTTTCAAAAGAGTGTGAACCTAACATGAAGAACAAGCACAACAGAATATTTTTAGAACGAAATAAATAAAAAGCAGCATATTAAGACAAAGAATATTGGGCTTTCAATGAGGACCTGCCAAAGCTTGACATCCTTCAAATCATGCTGGACATTTACATGTGTATTTGCCTGTACCGGAAGAGCAACCAAAAGCAAATCATGGTCATTAGATGCTCTAAAAAAAACATCCGAAGTCAAAGAAAAATGAAGAAAGAGAAGGAAAAGAAGGAAAACACCCTCCACAACCACTATGCAGCACGCAATAGAACAGAAACTACAGACGGGATAGGAAACAGATACAATTCCCACACAGACTCAATGAGACAACGAATTATGAAAAAGAAAATACAGATATGACCAATAACATATATACCTTGCAATAACAACAAATTATTATCTCACTGGTACCAACACATATTATGAGAGAAAATTGGGTTCTTTAGATCAGCAAAACTTTATGTTTCCAACATATAATGTAAGCGCCCAAGTCAGGTCTCCATAGCAGGTGCATGATTNGGCATTTAAGTAAATCCACCATATATCAATCGATCAAAAGTTAAAGCGATCAATCAACCTTCAACAATTTGATCGATTGATATTTTTAAAAAGTGCTTAAAATATCAAGTTTAATGAATTTTAGGTTATCAAACAGATTTAATTTATTAAATATTTAAAGTATTTAATTTTAATCCTTAAGTGATACTATCAAACAACCCCTAACTATATAACTAAAACCCATGTTTTTATTGGCCATAAGGTTGGCCCGGTCCTATAGGTGTAAATCTGTCACTACCCTGTTTTCGAATTGAAAGCACCACCATGGGGGTCTTGAGTACGTTAAACTATAAACTTGATTGTTGTATTTTTAAGACTACAAAAAACTGTTTGGACATGTTGGGTTGGAAGATAGGGGTGGTATAAGGAGGTGAAATTAAGAAAATAGTACATGGGACCTACTTTATACCTTATTTGTTTGACATTTTATCATTAGTACTATTTTTTGGGTCGTAATACCGACCCGGTATGAACAATGACTTAATTGTCTTCTATATGGTATTAATGAATACCACCTATCATGTGGTATTATCTTCTTGGTACAAATGAATGGACGGTATAAGAGAATAAAATTGCACAAATGCCCTCCTATGTGAAGAGTTCACATATAAAAAATTTATTTTAAATTTTTTTCTTATATTATATTTAAGCATATGATGTTACCAGTTTTTTTTAATTTCTTTTTAAAAAATTATTTTAAATTTTTTTCAACTATTTTTTATAATTTTTTTTAAAAAAATTATTTTAAATTTTTTCTTTTTATTATGTTTAGGGGTGTCAAACGTGTCGGGTTAAACGGGTGACAGGTAAAAAATATATAAATCTGTACACAACACGTTTATTAAACGGGTAAAAAATCTCAACACAAACACGACTCGTTTAATAAACGGGTAACACGACACGACTCATTTAACCCATTTAATTTTAAAAAAATTATATCAACAAATTTTAATATTTTACTTTTTTTATTGCCAATTGCACTTATCTCAAAAAAAAAATTTAGTCAAATCTCATAAAAATAAGACTTGAAAAATTAAAAAGAAAAAAGCAAGAGGTCATTGTCTTTTATAAGCAACTCAACCTTCCTCATCTCCCCTTATTTTCCAACGTAAGACAAAAACAAAATGCATTAGTTTGTATTTGTCTTTGAAGTGCTCTTCATCTCTCATCTCATTTGTCTTTGAATTATTACTTTACTTCTTCTTTTTTGTTAATTTTTAAAAGTAATTATTAATTTATTATTATATTAATTTTATTTATATGGGTAAACATGTAATAAACGGTTTGACATGTCTCATCCGAACACGACTCGTTTATTAAACGTGTTTAGCGTGTCAACCCATTTATCATCAAAATCCGTTAAGATCTTACTCAAACCCGCTTAATTCATATCGATACGTGTCTGTTAATCGTATTATGTCGAATTTTGACAACCTTAATTATGTTTAAGCGTACAATAAAACATTAGAAAACATGAACATTAATCTAACATAATTGTTACACAAATACAATAACAATTATTTTAAATTTAAATCATATGAAACACATTAAAATTATAACTGTTCTAATAGATCATCAGTTCACCACAAATCATGTAACATATACAAAAAATAAGTCCATGTTTTCGCAACTCAAACATCCACAACAATAACAATGTTATAATATAAATTATATCACACAAATATTCTTATAATTACAAAAAAAATATAAAAAAGTTAAATATATTTTTTGCGGATATGATAGGATAGAAATGCAAAAATTGATGGGTATTTCGTATTCCTATCCGATTTTTGCGACTAGTCATTTAGTATAGTAAAGTAAGGTCGAATAAAATAAAAAATTACGATCAATCGAAAATTTGAACACCCCGCACTTAATTTAACTAGGCATGATAGAAAAAGGCTGCCATATCTCCCCTAAATCACGCAAAAAATCTCTCTTTCCAAGACATCTGAAAGAGTCCAAATTGTGAGAACCGAAATTCCTTCCAACAGCAGGATTTTCTCAATATGTAATAATGCTATTGGGATATAATTAATAGACGTAATTTATGATATGATGATTTATAATCAATGAAATGATAATGAAATATATTTAATCATAGGTCTCATTATAACATTAAATGAATTCGTTATTATTTTATTAATAACAACTCATTATGTCTCTAAATTATGTCCATGAATAATGTTTCAATAACATTGCTCCTCCTTCACGACATTCCAAGAAATCACGCCTTCCTTGAATCAGTCCATTTGTAAATGCAAGTTGCCTCTAATTAAGAGCAAGACAAAACCCCCATGCAAGAAAGTGCCATCTTTTCCATACGTTTGCCAAAAGTTCCAAGAGTAATTGGCCCTGACAAGGAACTTGACCCTGGAGCCAGACTTGAGTCCCTTGACCCACTTGATTAGTGGTTTCCCTTTCAAACTCCCAATCACTGAATTATTTTTCCAAACATCCCAATCCAAGAAAGAGTTGCCAACTTGAATTTATCCTCCCTCTAACAAAATGAAGAGAAAATAAAAATAAAAACCTTAATACCTTCGAAACCCAAATGGTTTTTTTTTTTTTCCTTAATCATCTTTAAGCCCTTAGCTTTGGATCGTGTCATAACTGGAGAACCTACCTTTACATGGACTGAAGATCTGGAAGTTGATGGAATCTGAATTTTTCCTAACGCTGCTTGCGCTGTTGCGATCTCAGCATCTCTCTTCTTTCTTCTCTGTTGTGCTTTGTCTAGCTTCACTAATAGCTCATTAGACTTGGCTATAAAAAATTGAAAGTTCTACTTGTAAATGAAAATTGGGTGATACATTGCTATTTTTGTATGAGAATGTTGAGATTCATTGTGCTTGTCAAATTCACGTGAATCATTAGATCAGTAAGTTTTATTAAAAAAATTTTATGCGACCCACTAATCTAGTAGTTTAGAGTGATTTCATAAGCAAATTTAATAAAAAAAAATTATTTAATTGGCTCACTAAGGACAACTCTGGTTGGTGGACAAGAATTGTAGGAGACATTTTCTATTTTTCTTCATTTTTTTATCAAGTAAGCAGGACCAAAACAAGAGTCAAGGAAAAAACTCATCAATGTCATCACAATCAGGAGGAGACATATTCCTTATCAGAAAAACCTTAGCTACAGGGAATGGAAATAGGTAGGAACCTTGTCTTGATAGTGGCTTTTACTATGAACTGGATGAGGGGTTTGTGCGTCTTGCGTTCAAATTGGGTTGATTGTGAAGGGCCCACCCATTGCCTACCGTTGATGAATAGATTCGATCAGTAATTTTTTCACATAAAAATTGTTAATTAGTCACATCCTGGTGTCTTAGCAAATGAAAATAGAAAAGAAATATTTTTAAGAAGGAAAGACTGCGGTTATAATTTTATAAATGAAATTTAAGTTATAACTTTTTTATAAATTCATTATAAATTAAATTTCATAAAGACCATGATCCAGCATAACTTTTTTATAAATTTAATTTTATAAAGAGCATAATCGATTCTAAAATGTTGAAATCGATCGTAGAAGTTTCGATTTTTAAAGGTCAAGTTACAGCACAAAAAAGAAGAAATTACAATTTTTTAGAAAAATTCATGATCAATCATAATAAATTTTTCTTAAGTAATTATAACCTTACTTTTCAAAGATGTAATTTTATCATTGTTGGAAATATGAATCTGAAGAATAAAGTAAATAGTAGGATGAGACGTGGAAAATGACTGTTAGAATTTAATAAAAAAATAGCTGTTCGAAAACTAGCCATAAAACACTTGGTATTTAGAAACTAAATTTTTAATAAGAAAGAACATAATAAAATCAAATAAAAGTGAGTTTTATCTTGTCATGACATGGTTGGATAAATCATAATTTTATTAAACAAAAGTATAAATTCCAATAATAATTACAATTTATTTGAAATCAAGTTAGGACACAAAATATGAATTATCATTCAATGGTGTCAATTTTATGACTAAAAAAAATTGGAATTTTTTTGCAAATATTAGGTTCAATTCTATATGATCTTATTTTGTTATAAATTTACCAGATTATTTTACGAGTAATGCTAGATAGACTTAAAAATTAGATTTGATAATCTCAATCATTGATTTCACTATAGGTCCTAGCATTTATTAAGACCCACTACATATTCAATGGTTGAGATTATCAAATCTAATTTTTAAATTTATCTAACATTTTATACGAAACGTTTTGTGGGGTACTTCACATATTCAATATTTGATATGAAACGGTTTGATTGGTATTATATCAATTACTTTCAGATATACGATGAAATTGTTGTTAGAATTCAGCCTAATAGAGTTATTCGAATTGAATAAGAACAAAATTTTATCTTTAATAAATTTAAATATGAACGGTGATAATTAAATGTTTGAGAAATTCATAGTGTAATTTTTATATGGGATTTGAAATATTAACCCACAACGCTATGGGGTGACGACTCAGGTCACTTCAACCCATTTATTCCCACTTGCTTGGATGCTTCCGCTATGGATCCCTCCACTTTTGTTTTCTCTCTCTCTCTCTAAACCAACAGTATGATGAATCCAAGTTGGCTTTGCGGACCAAATAATTAATATAAATAATATTTATTAGAAAATAAGAATTTAAAGATAGAAAAAACAATAAAATTATGACACAAAAATATAACATGATTCGATACAACATACTAACCTTGATACACCGTACTTACATTTACGGACCAAAAACTTAATGTATTATTTACTGAAAAAATTGGTCATCTGATAACTAATTACATATGCATAAAATACTGTAACCCCAATATATTCAAATAGAAATCTTTATATTTTCTATCATCTGTCTAATATACCTATTCATGGTATATTAAACCTTTTCTAATTTGTTTCTTATTTGAATTGGTCATTAATAAATCTATCAATGATTTATTAGGACTCTTACAATACGTTTCGCATTTCATTTAAAATTCTCACATTAATTACCCAACAAACTTTCTTCGTGACAATTGCAGAGTTTGAGTCAAATTCTAATAATATTAAATTTCAATATAAATTTTAGTTATTTATAATGAAAATTATTGACTTCCTCTGCTCTTCAATCATTTATTTCTTATATATGCAACTAATAGTATGGACATTTCTACAACCGTCCACTGTGCCTTGGCCAGAAGATTTCGTTGTTACCTTCAACCAATCTCTTAGACCCTTGTTTCAATGGATGCCACTTATGGATTTTCTTATCATGTGTTCTTGAGCTTTAGAGGTGAAGACACTCGCAAAACTTTTGCTGATCACCTCTATACAGCTTTGGTGAATGCAGGATTTCGTACATTCAGAGACAATGATGAGATAAATAGAGGAGAACATATTAATTCAGAGCTGAGGAAAGCAATCGAACAGTCAATGAGTTCAATAATTGTCTTTTCGAAAGACTATGCATCGTCCAAATGGTGTCTTGATGAACTCGTGATTATCCTTAAACGCAAGGAGAAGTCTGGACATATAGTTCTACCTGTGTTCTATGATGTGGAACCGACACAAGTCAGGAGGCAAACTGAAAGTTTTGGAGAAGCATTCGCAATGCATGAACAGAGATTCAAGAGAGAAATTGGTGTCATGGACAAAGTGGAAGGCTGGAGAGGAGCGCTTAGCGAGGTTGCAGATTTGGCAGGGATGAGTTTGAGAAATGAAACTGATGGGTACTTTCTTTTTCTGCAAAATCTTTCTTTTCTGCATAATTTCTCATGTTTTGCTGGAGTATTTATGATCATTATCACTCAGTTTCCTCTTGAAAGTAATTTGAGAACCAAATTTATATGTCTTGTAGTCTGCTGCTCATCCCCTCCTCTTTTAATGTTTTATCAAATCAGGAAATCATTGAAATGAATAATTGAGGTGACTCTTGAAATTGGTTTGATTAGAACCCAAAGTTTTGAACACCTTTTTGGTCCGACCCTTTACCCACTTAAGATTGAACCAAAAAATGGGTTTTTTTCGGCACTTATTCTTAAATAGCATCGAATAAATTCAGGCATCAACAAAATAACAAGAACAGATTTAATTTGATAAATCTTACAAAAAAAATACTAATTTAAGAAAATTTTCAACAAAATTAAGGCATCAACAAAATAATAAAAATAGATGTAACCCAATAAATCTTACAAAAATACTAATTTGAGAAGATTTTCGACAAAATAAATGTGATGACTGCGTAGTACTTGTTTCCATGGCCAAGCAAGTAAACCAAAACCTGCTAGAAGTACCCCTTTTTCTTTCTCTTGCTCAAATACCAAGAAACATTAAATGAATGGGTTAATGGACCCATTAATTATTGGTTGGGCTGCCCACATGGGATGGACCCAAACCCAACCGGTTTTTGTTCTTTAGTGCAAGTAAGTAGGCAGACAAAAAGTGCAAGTCGTTCTGTAACAGAATCTTTTGCACACCAGATGGGTGGCCGGACTGGTTCTGCCAGCGAGCGATCTGGTCTCTCCTGGTTTCTGGTTATGGATATGCTTAAAAATTATTCTCTTAAATGGTTTTCGTCTTGATTCTCTCTTTCATACAAACTGAAGTGTCAAAATTGAAGAGAAATTAATGCAATGGGGAGGGTCACAAATTTTATTTGTTCAGATTAGTCTAAAACCAAATTAGGGATATGTGGTGGTGACTTTCAGATCATGGGTTAACCAATCAAGAAAATATCATATATGATGATATCCATCAAAACTAGGCTCATAGGATTGCAATGCAATATGTCGAACATGAGCCTTATCGTTTTTGCGAACGCTATTCTAGTTGTGATCCAAATTTGTATTCCAATGTTGACTCAAACAACCAAATTGTGAAGAATGGGGCTCTTGGAAGAGCCTTTCCACATGATCACCGTCATGAGGAAGGTTGGCATTGCTTGGCTATCTAGCAATCATGCCTGATCAGGCAAGACTCTTATACTAATTGAGGCAATGGTAATGAAGACGCAAAGAAATCGTCATTTCTTTATGTATCGAACATGATACAATCCTGAATCCATAGAAAAATAAGAGAAAACCTCCAAAACATAGTAATATTGATTGGACAAAATTTGTAGTACATGGTGACAATTTATAAGAATGGCCAAACGCTAAACGTTCATAAAGCGGAACTAAATCACTAATCGTGCGAAAGTTATGAAAGAGAATAAAAATACATGGTCTTTGCAATTTAGGAAAATTTACATGATTGTGCAGTGAATCACCCACCCCTGAACAACATAAGATATTCCTAATTAAATTCTAGCTCTTCCAAAACAATAAACTTCTAAATCCATCCTACATCTTGTTTATCCATCTTTTGAATTTGACTTAAAACAAAGATCATAAACACTTTGTGATGATGAACAAATAAGTCTCGTACAAGAGCAACAGTCGAGTATATGAAGGGATATAATTAATAAGCAATAAATAAGATAATCAATAGCAAAATAGTAAATAATGAGTCAACACAAAGATATATAGTGGTTCGATCCGGGTGATTTACTCCACTCTCGGGAAAGGCAGCGGTGACCGAAGGTCTTTATTGATGAATAAAGTAACAAAGAGAGAGAGAGATCTCCGGGAGAGGTAAAATAGCATTAGGAGAGAGAAGCTACATGTGTGGGTGTAGAGGGGTGCCAAGATGTGTTGAGAAGTGTTGGAAGATGTCTCAAGCTGTCTCTTCTTGCGGAGAGAACTTACATTTTATAGGTTTGGTGAGGTGATGACACGAGGGAGAGGGCACCTTCTCTTTGGTAAGTACAATTAAGGTAGGATTGAGTTTTCATGAGTGCGTATCTCAATAGGTTCTCTCACGTGTTCCTATCTCTTCGAGCTTCTTGAATTCTAAACTGGGTCAAACATGAAAAGTGGGTCTAAGCCGCCCTTTAGTTGACTTGGACCTTCTTGATTTGTTAGACCTGGCCAGTTGATTTTTAGCTCATCACTTTGCTGTGCATCTTTCGTATCCAATTTAGAATAAAGATCATTACATGTTTTATACTTGGCTTTTAAGACCTCTATTGTAACTTTGGAATTTGCAAACTTATATTTTTCTCCATTTCAAGTTTTTTGCCATGCCTTAAAACATATCTTTTGTT